GCTGAGGCAGAAGGATTGCTTGAGCCCAGGAGTTTGAGGTTGCTGTGAGCTAGCCTGATGCCATGGCACTCTAGCCCAGGCAACAGAGCAAGACTCTGTCTCAAAAAAAAAAAAAAAAAAGGAAGAGTTGTAAGTGGGAGAGTGACAGGGTAAAAATTTTATTTTGAATGGGTCACTCTGAAGTTGAGTGGAGAATGAATGGATTTAGTAGGGCAAAGATTGGAGGTAGGGGTTGCTGTTAGGAAATTTCCAGTGGTCTAGGTGAGAGAGGGAGTGAGAGCCTCTAACTTGAGGGAGAGGGGGTAGATAATAATGAAGATTAACATTGCTAGCTATGTACCTGCCTTTATGTGCATTATTTCATTTACTCTTTCTAAAAACTTCATAAGGTATAGTTTGAGCATCCCTAATCCAAAAATCCGAGATCAGAAATGCTCCCCAATCCAAAACGTTTTGAGCATTGACATATGGTTCAAAGGAAATACTCATTGGAGCATTTTAGATTTCCTATTTTTGGATTACGGTCACTCAACCGGTATGTATTTAGAAGTCTGTTTTTACACTGTATCCTGTATTAAAGCTAAATCTTGAGTAACGTTAATATTCAGAGAATGGAGTATTCTGGTTAACAAAATTTTTGACTAAGAGTTAGCTAGAGCATTCTTTATCTTTGTATTTCAAATTGAAAATCTTAAAACCATGTTAGTTAACTTAATGCAGTATTCTCAATGGAATTGAATGTTAAACTTTAAAGATTAGCCACTCTTGTAGTGGATTGTTATATGTGGGAGGTTAGAGTGAGTCTGAACTTGATCCAGGATATCCCTACCTGCTACCCAGAATATTCTTCAAATATTCTAAAATCTGAAAAAAACAAAATCCAAAACACTCTGGTCCTAAGAATTTCAGATAAGAGATACTCAACCTGTGGATACTATTATATTTGCCTTTTACAGATGATGCTGAGGCAGAGAGATTAAGTTATTTGCCTACGGTCACAAAGTTAGCAAGTGACAGAACTGGGCCTAGCTCTAATTACTCACTGAAATTATACACTCTCCCAGACTTCCCCATGTAGAGAGCAGTGTACTGAGTGACATTAGGAAGTGGGGAATGACTGATGTTGGGGCCAAGGAATCAGAAAGTCAAGGATGACCATCAGGTTTCTAGGGAGGAGGTTGAAGTAGACAGAATGCTGTCTGTTGAAGACCACAAGAGGAGGAAGGGTGGGTTGTTAGTTGTTATCTGTATGTACACTTTGTCGGTTGTGAGCTTTTCCAATTATAGGAACAAGTTTTGTTCTAAAGGAATCTCAGTTTTACTAAAACTTATAGTCCACTTAAGATTTGTGCATTTTACTATATATAAATTATACCTTAATAATACAGTGGAAAAAAAACCTGTAGGCTCTGTGCCCATTTAAAAATTAAAGAGGCCGGGCGCAGTGGCTCATGGCTTTAATCCTAGCACTCTGGGAGGCCGAGGCAGGCAGATCTTTTGAGCTCAGGAGTT